CTCAGGGACAAAACATGGTGAATGGAGGTCAATTTAATTTGTCTCAGGCCCAGGGGCATATTTTAGCACAAAATATTGCGAGTTTGCTTCAGCAAAATAACATGAATATGCAAAATGGACAATTTTGTGCTCCGTTGCCCCTGCAAAATATGAATCAACAGTTACCTATGCAGGTCTCAAACCCAGCTCAAGTTATTCCATATGGTATGCCTCCAGGTTCCCATCCTATGTGCAGCTTTCCAAACCAAGTGCCTCAAGCTATGATTCCTCAAACTCCATTTTCTTCTGCACCTATGCAGTTAAATAATGTGCCTGGAAACCAAGTGCCTCAGGCTATGGTTCCTCAAAATCCATTTTGTTCCGCAAATCTGCCATTAAATCATGTGCCTGGAAACCAGGTTAGGCCACAGTTTAACCAGAATGAGAAAAACATGTTCTCACCTGGAAAAACAAATGCTTTCACATCATCGCCTTTTGCATCTCAGCAGTTGGAGGGGAACACTCGGGCACCACCTAATCCTAATGGTTTGAAGCAACTGCATGCAAAACACTCCCAACCTGCATTTTCAAATTCTCAGGTAGCCTCTTTCTCTCTATTAAATACAATAATCACCACTTTTTTCCAGTCATATATTCTGCTCAGCCGCATGTACTATAGTAAAATAGTGGTGGCTATTGTTTTTAGTATGAATCTGATTATTGCAGGCAAATCCTATGAACAATGTCAAAGCTAATGCTCCAAACCCTAATTGGAAAGGTTCACTGAGCAAAAACTTAAAAAATAATCCAAATCGAGGGAGATTTCAAGGAGGGTACGCAGCTGTCTTCTTTCATTCCTCTTAATTTATTTTGTTTACACATGATGATATGCATCATTTGACCAAACGAAAATCTACATCCCTTTGATGTAGGTTTCAAAAGTCCAAGTTTCATGATATCAACAAAGGAAAGAAGAAATTTGGGACTCCAAAAGAACATCGGCCCAAAGGTTTGAATTTCTTTACCTTCTTACAAAGGCAAATGCCTATTTTGCTTTGAGATGGTTGTTAATAGCCTGCTATGTTGCCATGCTGCATGCAGAGCCTTGCAAATATAGCTCTGCTACAGGTTGTAAGACTCCAACTTCCCCTGTATTCTTCTGTAATTACTTTATCAATTTGTTGTTTGCTTTTCATCAAATTTCAACAATTATTCAATGTCAATAATGGAGCGGAAATTTGAAAGTTATATTAAAAAACTAAAGACGGTCACTTAAGCTGTGGTTTTATATGATGTGCTGAATTTATGATTGGTTTTTAGTCCTTCGTGTTCCAAGGGTGCTATTAGTATGAACAATTAACTTAATATTGGTTGAACAAACAGGGTTCAACAATGAGAAGGTGGGAAATTCTGGCTCTAACTATAAGGAACAGAACAAGGAACTGAAAAGGTAGTTGTTGCCAGTCTTTTTAATTTATATTCATCTGCAGAACCACCAAATCAAAATTTTTATGCTTGCACGTTACATATAAGTTCACTGTCTATTATATTATGCTCTCTAACTACCATTTGAATCTGTCCACAAGCTTGAAAAGCTACATATCAAGTCCTGAAATCGAATAAAATTTTTCATTCCAATATCTAGTCAATCAATAAGGTTTAGACCATTCTTGATGTTGGCAGTATATTTTAAGATTTCAGATGCCTTCATTTCCTATAGAAGATGAAAAATATTTGTTCTCTTTTGGGAACAAATTTAAAGATTAGAAATCAAGTCTGCTTTCTCTCTTGGTTTGACAACTTCATTTTCTCTTTCAACAACTTTCTAAAACATTGTGTTTCTTAGTGTATGACACATCATTTTCTATTAACATCATCTGACTCTCGAACCTTGATTTTGTATCTGATCAATGTTGGGTTGTTTCTCAAATTGTTAGATCTTTGTCAGTGATATACACTGACCAAGAAATCCAGCAGTGGCGTGAAGCAAGGAAGAAGAACTACCCTACCAAAGGCAACATTCAAAAGGTTAAATGAACTTCTTTATTTATTTCAATTTATTTATCGAAAGCTGTTGTCTAAGATTTGAAATACTACCTGCAGAAGCAGAAGGAGCAACAAAGTGCATTGAAGGTCACTGATAGGGAGGTTTTCCGAAGAGAGGTATATTGTTTCATAGTTATATGCGCAAATTATTGGTGCTCTTTTACATTTACATTATTGGTCTCACATTCAGCGACTAACCTAGAAGTTTGTGATTTCGCGAGTCCTTCCCAGTTGACATGCCTAATTGTTAAAGATTAGCTATGTTACCTGATTCATATGAACAGAGAAACAATTTTTACACCGAAAACCAGAAGATATTAATCTGAGGCATCAACTGTGGATCATAAAATTTGCAAATGAAGATCCCTTTTCCCAGAAGAGTCGAGCTTTTTCACCTGAAGACAATATTCCAGGGAAATGATATTTCCAAATTTAATAGTGTGGTTCAACTGAATTGTTTTGTAGCTAACGCTCCCTTGGTTTGGCTTTTCTCCATTTCTAGCATGAAATCAAAGTGAAAATAGACATATCTTTTCCTGGTTCCTAAGTAGTATTTGAACTCGTTGGTAATATATTAAATTTTTGTTTGTGGCAGCTCAAGGAGATTTTAGCAAAGCAAGCTGAGTTAGGGGTTGAAGTTGCTGAAATACCATCTTACTATCTGAAGGATTCTAGAACAAAGGGTTTTGAGGGTGGAGAGAAAAGGAATTCCTCTAACAAAAGAAAATTCAAAAACAAGTTTGACAAAAGAACAGACAGAAAAGGTAGGTATTCCAAGAAGCAGAAATTTGCAAACAAAGATGTGGCGCCAGACCCTTCATCAGACAAGAGAAGTCCAACTTTGTTGCAAAAACTATTGAGTGCAGATATAAAGAGGGATAAGAGCCATTTATTTCAGGCTTTCAGGTTCATGGTAATGAATTCCTTTTTCCAAGAATGGCCTGACAAGCCACTTAGATATCCATCTGTTATGGTCAAAGAAAATGGTCCTGAAGGTGGTGATCAAGACCTTGTGAACTTGATAAATGACAAACGCGGTGATGTTATTGAAGATGGAGATTGTGATGATAATGAAAATGACTGTATAGAGCAAGTCAATCCGCAAGAGGAATGTCCTGATGGAGAATTTGAAGAATCTGAAGAGGAAGGTGAAATTGTAGATTGAACTCCATGATGCTATATCTTTGGTTCTAGCATTAAAGATTTTGACTATAAGCTCTGCTATATATTGTTCATCTAGTTTAGTAGATTTCATATCTCGAACACCTCTCTATTTTTGCCTGGAGGGACATGAACAGCTCGTTGTCTACCTTTGGAATTTTATGATAGGTGCGCGTAAATATAGAATCTTTTTTTTTTTTTTAAAGAAAAAAAAGTGCTTAAAATAACATAGGGAATTCATAGGGTTTAAGAAAATTGGGTTGGCCGTTATGCCAGTCTAAGCACCGACTCAGTTTAATAGTAAGGCTAGAGTTTAAAATTGTAGTTGAACAGGGTACGAGTAAATTAATACTACCTCCGCTCTTAAATATAAGAGTTAATTGATTAATTTGAGGAGATTAATGAAATAAGTTAAGTTAGTTATTTATAATAAATAAGTGTTATCTTTCTTAAAATATCCTTGTTAATTAAATGTATTGATTATAACTATTATTATTAGAAGAGTTATCTTTAAAAAAAATAGATAAATATGAGAGATAAAGTGGATTGGGGTTTTATATTTAGGACTAAAATAAAAATAAAAAAGTCGTATATTAAGGACAAGAGGTAGTATATTTTAAATAATGTATGCTTAATATAAAACTAAATGATTATCTATAGTCATAAAAATGAGCATTTTTTCCGGCATACGATTGTCATTTTTTTTTAATAAAAATTGTCATTTAAATTCAAAGGAAAATAATATGCAGTTAAAAAGAGGCCGTAATACTTGATAAATAAAACATGACTAATTTGACCAATTGGCCCATTGATTGGGCTGAGTTATGGCCGAGTTAGACATAGGACCGATTTAATCAAGCAAATCGGCAAGGCCTGATTCTCGTAAAATTATTTCTCCCTGCTCATGTTTCCGCTGCTCCTCTAGTTCCTATTTATAAGGTAGAGAAGAAATTTTTTGATCATATTTATGAAGTGAAGAGCAAAATTTTTCCTATAAATATATAATTTTACCCTTTATTTATTCTTATATTGATATTGTTTTTATGAGATATATAATATATATTAAATAGGAATAAATTTAGAAAATTATTGAATTTTAATGTAGAGTTAATAGAATTTAAAGTTTTTCTTAGTTTACATAAAATATGTTAAAAGTGACTTGTAAACATAACGAGAGGAATATTCATTAATGTTGTAGTGAGTGTACTATTCCATGGATAAACCGAGTGTGGTGCTCGATGGGTAAACACACAGGGTAGTTCTTTAGGATATTCAAATGTTTTTTTTTAAATGATTCTGCATATCCATTTTTTTAAAATTAATTGACAAGAAGGGGATTGAGCATTATATTATACTACCTCCGGTCCTAATTATAAGACCCAGTTGACTTATTTGAGGAGATTAAGGAAGTAAGTTAAGTTAGTTATTTGTAATAAATAAGTGTTGTCATTCCTAAATATCCTTGCTAATTAAGTGTATTGGCTAGAACTATCATTATTAGAAGGACTATCTTGGAAAAAAATATATAAATATGAGAGAAAAAATAGATTGGGGTCTTATAATTAGGACCAAACAAAAAGTCAAACGGGTCTTATATAAAGACCGGAGGTAGTATTATTTTCCTAAAGCACGGCACTGCAAACCTGGGTTACTAAACTAGTAGCGCACACAATTGTTTGAGATCCAGTACAATTTGTGTTATGTTCGTTTTTCGAAGACATTCTTTCTGTTTACAGGACTCAAATTAAAGATCTCATATTTAAATATTCACAGCCCCTTTCAATAAGATGGCACTCCTTGGCAAAGAGAAGCTCTTCAAAATAAGCAGTTTCAATATAAAATAAAAATGATAATAGTTAACAATTAAATGATGGTAGGGAATGTGCCGTCCGATTCCCACAAAAGAAGCGTACCTTTCCCTCAGCTAATGATGCGAACTGATCTATATTACACCGGCCGGTCAATAAATTCCCACACAAAACTTTGGAACCGTGACTTCCAAAAAAGACCTATGGAAAATTAATAATATGGAGCCAATGAATGAGAACAAACGTTACAAAATTCTCAGAGAATATATTCAAGATGCGCCACTAAGCTTTGCTTTTAGTCTTTGATCCTTGCTTCTTTTGTTTCTTGTACTGTTTATAAAGCTCAAGAGACAGCGTAGTCTTCTCCAACCCCCTTCTCAACCTTTCATTCTCCTTAATGTCGTGTAGAAGCATAAAATGAGAAGCAAGTTTCTTCCTTAGCTCATCCTCATCAAATGGACTTGAATCTGCTGTAGATCCAATTGAAGGGGATGGGGGGGCTCCATTTGCTCTTTTCCTCTTGCTATTTAGCTTTACGCTGCCAGTTTGTGGTGAAACTTGTTCTTGTTCAAGGGACATGTCCTTGAAAGCTTGTTGAGGAGAAATGTTGGAGAGAAAAACTTGGTTATGAGCGGTACTCATGGTTGAAATGCCAGAGGCAATTGTGGATATAGCTGGATGATAATGCTTGGATAGAAGATTGAGGTCCCACAATACTGAGGCGAGAGCGCCACTTAAACTGGGGTCTGTGGAATTTGGTTGATATTTCTGCAAAACACAGCAACATGGTCGGTGATAATAGCACTAGCATTAAAAAAAAAAAAAAAGGAACTGAGGATTATGATGGTCTTGGCTAAAAAGGATTATAAAATGGAATTCACAAAGTCTTGCGTTTTAACATCAATAGCCTTTGCCCATGAAATCCATATCCAGTTTCTTCCAGAAATAAGATACGAATAAAAGATACTTAAAGAAGAATAATGCAACAGTCAACAGTAAGATACAGCCAAAATCTAGAATCTACAAACAAGGAAGGTTCCCTTGGTAGAAGTCATATAACTGCATTACAACTTCCTTTTAATAACACGTCCGTCTTTCACTTCTCCAAAAATGTGTTCCATAAGAGTATCCTCGTAAGTGCCAACAAATAACAGATAAAATTAAGAAGCTTACCGGAATCGTGCCTGCAATAGAGCCTCCTCCAGTGTCATTTTCCAACAGATTTCTGCACTTTACGTTCTTCTGAAGGAGATGCTTCACTGTGACTAAGGCTGAAAAAATTCAGAAGGATAACGAGATGTCACACTTCTGGTTCTTCGTGAATTAAGTAATGTATTTGTGCCAGTTCATGTGTTTCATGGGGTTAAAGACAACAAAAACATACCAGCCATGGACTCTGGAGATCCGAAACACAATGAAATTGTAGCCAAACGTTTTATAAATGCAGCAGTCTTTTGCATGTCATGCTGCTTATCTTCACACAACATTATCTTCAACGCTTCTGCTAACACCTCTCCTTGATCTCTGTTTCATATAAGAGAAAAGAAACCCAGAAAGATTTAAACACTGAACAAGGCAGAAGAATTTGCTAATGCTGTGAAAAGAAGTTGACCGGTCCAAATACTCCTTTATGTTACCATGATTCCTTTGAAGGCACATGAATAAAGCGTGTACTATCATGCATAATATACACAATGAAGTATTAATTAATTTTCCACGCAAATTATATTAGGCCACTGACGTAAACGCTCTATCCTGCATGTCCTGGCAATATCTAGAAATGGGAAAATATTAACCATTACAACAGTGAATTTTGGGAGATTGGCATTCGGGCAAACCTTCCTGGCCTGTATTCAAGTAAAAGATTGTAAAGATGGACAAAGAAGTCTTGTAAATCAACATTCAAGGCGTCAAGATTGTTCCTCATCACTTTAAAAGCAACAATGCAGCATTGGAGACGCTCAGATACAGTCAAACATTTAGGAGACTTCTCAGAACCGTTGCCTGAGTTGCTACCACTAGAAGCAAGCTTTTTCAGATGGATCAAAAGATCATTCATGAAATCAAGGTCAATCAGATGCGAAAATTTTCCCAGTCCTTTTAGACATGGAGCAAGCAATGAGTGGGATCCAATTGTATCAGATAATGTCCCGGAATTTGCCTCGGGTCTAAGCCAAAAAAAGAGCAGAGATCATCAATATCCTAGACAGAAACAGAAAGATTCACATCCATATGATATCAAAGCCTCAATGAAACACAAAATACAAGTTATATGAACAAACCTCACAGCTGTGGACTCCATTGTGTGCTTTAAAACACGAAAATATGTCTCAAACACTGCAGAGAGTGTTTCAGATTGCATTTGTCTCTGCTCCATAACATCTGGTGTAAAAGATGCAGCCTTGTAATCAGCTTCAACCTACAAAAAGCATTGCTCTATTAACATAAATCAAGGATATGCTTAGCCAGAGCAATCAAAAGTAGGTCATTCTTGAGGATGAAAAATACCTCCTCTCTCATCTTTGATATCAATTCCTGCTTACTTTTCTTTCTTTCGTTCTGTTGCAGCTGATTTGGTGCATCCACATTTTTTCTTTTCTTATTTTTCTTGTTTCTCGCTTTATGATCATTATCTGTCTTTTCAGACTTCCTTAGATCCTCATCAAATGAAAGAGACAGGAAAACCTGGAGAAGGATTCAAAATAATGAACAAACAGAAAAAGATCAAAAAGATATCAAACGACTAAATGCCAGAGGTAAAACTCTCCCTGAAAATGGGTTTAACCCAATAAAATTTTTGACCATATAGAATGCAATAGCAACTTGATCAGCAAAGCAGAAAATCAACCAAGTGAAGACACCAACCAAAAAAAAAAAAAAAAAGGGAATAGGTGGGAACTATAACCTCAATGGATTCAGGATGTAGTTGGCAATTATTAGCTTTAACTTGATCAGCAATCAACCGAACAGCCTCTACAGTAGCTTCACCACCATGTTTACCCCCATTTGTAAATAGTGACTTAATTGTAGAACAACAGAGTTTTCTGTTAATCATGCAAATGAAATTTAATTAGCCACATAAATGGCAATATACAATGCAAACAAACCCAGAAATTCTTTTTTTAAAAAAAAAAAAAAAAAGAACAAACAGATACCAAAAACGAGTTCATTCTCTAAGCAAGAAAATTCATGATACCCAATAGAAATTATTTCCTACAACATTCAGGGGTCACTTCAGTTATATAGAATCGCTAAGAATTGGGACAGCGAGGGAGGGCTCATAAAAAATTGCACATGGAACATGATTTTTGATAAATCTAATATCTAACTTTTTACTCGAGTTCTTCTTCTGCTTTATCAAAACTAAACTTAAATTATCTTATACATTTGAAATATTTTTTCTATGCATGTATAATGTAAAATTACTGCCAATAGAAAAACACATTGAACATGTAAATGTTTTCAATGATTACAGCTTTATGGGATAGTTCGAGGCCTTTATTAAACTTCCCGATACTGCTTTCATCTCAAGGAATTAACTGTGAAACAAACACAAGATAATTACTATCCTTCTTATGTCCTATATTAATGACCTGATGGTATATTTACTTGGCCAATGTTTCCTGGGGAAGGTTGCTTCTCTGAGGCCAGCAGTCTCCTGCTCTATAAAACCTTTTATTTATAATTAAATCAAACGGTTTAAAACCATAGAGACAAATATCATGGATAGGACAAATAGCTTCTTTCAACTGCTATGCTAATTAGAATAAAGGGGGGAAAAATAGAGACAAATGATACAAGAATTTTAGTTATGACGTTTCATCTCATGGCAGTATAGTTCCCTTTGCAAATTTAGTGAAGATGAACTGTTCAGCTTAAAATTTTAAAGGCAATAATAAATATCCTTTATTGATAATGCCAATGCAATTCCATAGAATTTTGGAAAAGCTTAATATAATGCATAATAAATAAAACAAAAATAGTACTGAACCTTATAGCATCACTTGTAGAACTTATGTTTCTGACAACAGTGGCCAACAAGATTTCACGAAAGTTGAAATGGGGATTTGCATCAAGCAACGCACAAATACAACGAACTGCAACATGCTGGAATAAGGGCTCGTGTTCTAGGTCTATCAGCCTTTGGAGGTATGCCTGACAAAATGTGAAAAATAGGAAGGACCAGAAACAAATCATCTTAGTGACATAACATGTTCATTTACTATGTCAATCCATCATAAACAAATTTTTAATAATAACTAACAATGTTCACATTTTATAGTGATCCTAAATAATATTACAAAAAATATGGCCAGCAGCAGAGGTAGGCATAAGAATAGGACAGCAGACACCATTTCAAGCACCAAAGTCATTTAAGAATAACAACTAGATGGTGAAAGAAAAATTTTATGTCCCCAGAATTAGTTATCAGTTAATAGTACAGAATACAGTATTTATCTGACATGAGCACAAACCTTGTATGCTGAAAGAAGAGTGGACTCATAATAACGCATCTTTCTGACAGTTTTTGAAACCTTCATTTCTAATTCCTTTTCGGTGGGCAGTCTAATACGATAACTGTAAAATGCATAAAGGTAGAAGTAAATTAAGAAAAAAGTAAATAAAATTAACCAGAGTGAGGAAGTAAACTGAATGCGGGTTATACTGATATGATAATGCATAAAATATGGAATATGTGATGAAATTATCAGGCATACCCAGGAATAATGTCTTTGAAAACAGCCAAGAGTGATAGCAGTCCAAGTTTAACAATGCTCTGATCATTTTCTTTAGAGATTTGAACCATCTCTTTCAGCAACTTGATATTAGATTCTGGGTCTGTGAGCAAGGCGTTTCCAAGCTCTGCAAGCTTAAGTTTCTTATTTTCAAATGCCTCCTCAGCAGTAAGATCTTGTTTTACCTCGGCCTAAACAAAAAACAGAGAATCTGCTGAAAATTACACAGAATATTGAGTCCCAAGTTTCTAATTCAGTAATCTGTAACCCTATCACATATGATGCAGTTCAAGGGGATAATACAAAAGATTGCAACCAATAGGAAGTGAGGAAAAAATGTATAACTTCACTTTATTGGACAAAACTATTGAATGCTATAAAACAGGATCAATGTGGGAAAAGCCTTAGGCAATGTTTGGTACACAGAAAAGTGTTTTCTGGAAAGGAAATAGGAAAGTGCGTTGCTTTATGATTTCTTTCTATTATAAGGCGGCGCACTTTCCCATTTCCTTTTCAAAAAAGACTTTTCTGCATACCAAATATTGCATTAATGCCTTGAAAGGGAAGACCTTCTCTAGGCGGCACAAATACAAATAACAAATACATGCAAAATCATCAGCTGACTGAAAGCCTCAATTGTGCAATATGTAAAGAATTTGCATTTCCATCAAATGGAATCCATCATAGGGAACAAGCATGTGGCACATGATTCAAACAAACACAAAGCAATCAAATGTTTGCAAATAAAGGGAGGAAATAGCTTTCAAGACATGGTACTAGCAAATCAACATAATATCAGGCGGCCTAGATCAAAGCGGGCTTGTGAACCATCAAAAGGAAAAAAAAAAAACTTTTGTCAATCCGGTCCAAGGGAACTTCAAATGTGACATAAATTAATACAGTACCAGTACTGCTGCTTGTGGTGCTGGCTGCACCTCTGCGTTAGCCACTTCTTTCCCTTGCTTCTTTGCGTCTTTCTTTATTTTCTTGAGTTTAGCTCTCCTTTCAGCCTTACTTAGCTTCACTAAACCTTTATCCGCATTACCATCATCATTATCACCTCCAATTTCCACTTCAGCTGAACCATTTTCTGCCTTTGAAACTACAGAATGTGATGAGAACAACTAATTAATAGAGCGCTTTCATAAAAGATCGAGGGATCAGGCATTCACAATGGAAAAGTTTGAAGTAAAAGAAGAAAGAGACCCGTTCGGTAGTAGAGTTTTCCATCCAAGGTCTTCACTGGAAGAGCATCTACACGATCAACTTGAAGACTAGTTTCCTCTGTTTCTTTCTTCAGAGCATTTTTTCTCATGCGTTTCTCATAAAGGGCCTCCAAGTCATCCTCTTTGGCATCAGCAACTCGAGTCACATGTCTAGATTTTAAAGATAGTCAGCCTAAGTTATTCAATCACGCAGAACTCACAATAACAACGTAGTAAGTTTGAGTGACAGCAGATATTTCCGCCTTATATAACCATGCTAAGATGACGATCACACCAGATTTCCACTTTTGATTCAAATTAAAAGTACATAATAGAAAACCAAAATGTAAGTAATGATACCAGACACCTTAACCTAAAAACAAAACAAAAGAAAACGGAGCTTTGGGGGGGGGGGGGATTTTACCCGCTACTATGTGACGGCTGCTAAAAGTGGTACGACAAGCAAACTTATCAGTACTGGCATAAAGTTTATTGGCCGGACCTTTTGATTGACGTATTAAGCAACTTCTCCAATTTATAAATTGTGACAAAACTTGAAACTTTCTGACTAATCACACCCCTATCAGTGACATCTAGTCTAGACACATTTCTCTGCGCCCAAGTAATTTTATAAACTTATTCCTTAGTTGGGGACTTATAATATCTCATTTCCTTCAGCATTCAGAGATTTAGTTATATCAAGTTCCAAGACTTAGACTCATCATACATCAAACTAGCCTGTTGCTAGTGAAATTGCATCAAAACATTACATAGGACGATGAAGTCATCGAAAGGGGGTAGATACGAACTTGGTAATGGACTGGGTGTCCAAGGTTGAAATCAAGCCAGCATAGTCGCGGTTCTCCCGAACGAAATCCAGGTCTTCATCGGAAACTTCAATTTCGTCCTCCGAGAGCTCCGGAGGGAGGTCCGGCGGCAGAATCACCTTCTGCTTCTTCCCCATCAACAAGACCGAAGAACAAGCAAAGCTCTTAGCTCAGAGGTTTTGCTAAGGTTTAACCGTTGTCCCAAAAGGCGGAAGGAAAGAAAGAAAGCAGCAGCATGCCAGCTCTAATTTCCCTACTCTCTCTCTCTCTATCTCTTTTTATTTTTGGGGGGAAAAAAATCTCTCACCCGGGCTTCCATTTTACTGGGCTTAAGCCCACTTTTTGACGTTTATGCCCAAATAAGATATAAAGGCCCACAAAAACCAGACATTAGATATTGGATGTTAAAGGGACAGTTCTGGGCCCCAAAAAAAGGAGGATGAAATCCATCGTGATACACTACGGGGAAAATAGACATTAAAATAGACATGTTTTCCGATTCATTATATGAAATGGAGAAAATGGGTTGTGTTATTTATGGATTATAAATAACATAATTTATATTAATCTTACTTCTTTGGTACGAAATATTAATAATATTAAGCATACATTAATATATTAATTTTATGTATGGACACATTTTATGGAAAAGTTACCTGCAATTTTTTCCCCTTAAATTTCCTATAACTCATTCGTTTTGCTGTAATTTACTCGATTTATAATTACAGAACATGAAAATTACAACATATGAAAGAAAGTTTGAAAATAGTGTAATATGCGAGCCATTTAGAGATCATTTTGGTCAGAGATGGGTTGGCATAAATAGCAATATGCATAAGTAAAATTTCTTGAAAATACAAAACCCAATTGATTCATTAAGGCAGCAAATGTTTTGACCAAATAAAAAAAATTAAGGCTACAAGTGATTGAGATACATATTGAGGTCTTTTTCTTCTCATTTGTATAAATATCTTTTGTTTTTTTTACAAAAACAATTCCATATTAAATGTGACTGCCTATTCTAACGAAAATGTAAATATTTTATTATGTTATGAGAGGTTAATTCCTCTTTTCTTTTCTTTTTGCCAACATTACTAAACTAAAAATTTTTTTGGTAAGGTCGTTTTTTTGCCTCCAACGTCATTTTTTTTTGTCAAATATAAGTATTTTTCTATTGAAAATAATTATATTTAATATACTATTAAATACTAAATATAAACACATCTCATAGAAGGAATTTGGATTTTGATTTGTTACGTATTTTCTTCTTATATTTTTATAATTTTTTACCTAAGTTACTTTAATTTTATTTTTAAAAAAAAAGAGGCACACGTGATGAATTTAAGAAGACTGAAGATAAATGAGGCCAAGATGAGAGAAATGGAGAGGAACAGCGTATGAGAGAAGAAAAGTGAGACATTAATGAGGGGGGGACCCACTGTGATAAATGCTTCATTAATGGCGGGTCACACGCCTTTCTATTATTCAACATTTGCATCTTTGGAATTAACTCCCTTTTTTTTCTCATTATATTTTCCTATTTTTTAGATTCTCACCTAATCTTGTTGCTTCCCTTGACCCCTTCCCGCTCTGCATTTATTGCCCTCCTCTCATTTTTTATTGAGTACACGGCTAAATTTCACTTTCAATCTTTTTTTTCCGGAAAAAATAAGAAAAAAATTAGAAATTATTAAATACCAAATAAAAGTTTTCAACAAAAATTTGTTACTATTTGTAAGTCGCTATTTAGTAATCTTTAGTTTTTTAATGTTTGAGTAAAATATTCTAATAAATAACCAGCATAATCCTAGTGGAAAAAGCTTTGATTATAGCCGCTTAAATATGATGTTGGAGTGCCGATCATTTGGCAGCTTAGTAGTACAAGATGTGCAATTGGTTGCTATTAATCAGGCTCCGTACTTGTCCGCTAAATCGAAAAAATATAATCTTAAATTTGAATTTGTATAAATGTAAAGAGTCTTCGTAAATCAATATCTTTGTTTTTTTTTTTTTTTAAAGAAACTGCTCATGTCTTCGGAGTAAAAAATTAAATACAAATACATTCCTTAAATTTCATTACTCCTTCCATTTCTATATGTCAGCTTCACTTTTAGAAATAGGTTTGGTTCAAAATATAAGTTTTATTTTTTAGTTTGTCTAAGTATTAATTACTTTTCTTCTTATTATTTTGTCTTTAGCTGATTGTATTTAGTACTCTCTCTTTCATATTAATATTATTTTGATATATTCTCTTTCATCATTTTTTTTTGTTAATTGACTCTCGTTTACTCTCTTAATAAATAAGAAAATTTTTTTAAAAAAATTACATTTCTAATCTATTTATTATTTTTAACTAATTTTAATTACTAGTTCATTAAACGTGTCTCGGTTATTTAAAATTTATGTATAGGATCGGAGGGAGTATATGAGAAACCATCTCTCCCTCTCTCCACAATTAATTATGAGATTATCATATGAAAAATTAAAGAATTAAATTACACAGCATGAAGGCGTTGGTCAATCCCTATCAAGCAGACCTAACAAAACAAGCAATATCTACAAATTGAACTTATAATCGTTTTCTAGCCATAAACCACATGTTCCATTTCTCCCTAACCTAACCATTCCCAACTAATTATGTGTGTGTGTAGCAAATATCATTTTTTTTCCTCCTCAACTATGTATCAAATATTATAAATTTCACCAATATAATAATAAATTGCATAAATCCATTTAAATTTAAATTTTATCAATATCTCATGATACGATGAACTAATTAAAAATCGAACAAATTTTAAATTGTTATCTATTTCAATAAATATATATATCTCCCTGCTCGAAAATTTGACGCCAGACATACATGTAAAAGCAAGCCTAACATTTTTAATGAAATGCCCGTACATTTAATATCATTAGACCAAACCAATGAGTAGCCTCCATTATTGGTTGACATTGAGGAAACCATTGAAGAGATATAAAGCATTGAAGAAAATATCCATTGGGAAATATGAGGACGACAGTGTTTTTATTTTTTCTCTTTTTTTTCAAATTATTTTTGTTTATAAGTATTAAAAATTAAAATAAGGGCAAAAACATTAAGGGCAGTGACGGCCCCATGTTGTACTAAGTACTAACTCTGTGCTGAGCCATTTATACAGCTATGAAGCTAACAACACATAAAATGAATGCTATATCATGTTATTTTTGTTTTGTAAGTTTCGCGTTAAAAGACTATTTGAATGAAAACTAAATCAGAGTTTTAAAAATATTTTTACAGTTTACGAAGTAAATATATAGAGGAGTTTGTTTTGTTTTGTGAAAAAATGCTTTTTAGAAGTACTTTTGAGGGTTGCCAAATACCCCCTAAATTTGATTCTAAATATAAAACTCAAAAACATTTTATGTCTCATATTTTTTTAAGGTAGTTCTTTTAATAGTTATATATATTAAAAATTTTGGTCAATATGCATGATTAGTAAGGGTATTTTAAAAAAAACAATAATTATTTATTACAAATAGCTAACTTAACTAATTTTTTAATATAGTCGAATTAACTAACTAACTCTTATATTAAAGACTAGATGTAGTATATTTTATCCTAATTCAGTCATGTATTCTTCATAATAATATTGAGTCAGTCCTCATCGACATATAAATTGAGATAAGATCACTATTGCTATAAGAAAATCATAATATGCCAACGATAATTTGTATCGGTGTGAACGAATCAGTAACCTAATTATATAACATCATCTTAAGTCTAACTTACCTTTTTTCCAAAACATTCCCTCAACTTCCTAAAACATGAGCTAGTTGATAATTGAATTTGCTCATGAACATATATAAAACCATAATTTATTCTATCTCCCCTATATTTATTATTTTTCTGATTAATAATTCACCTCCTTCTTCTTCAAGACTGATATATAATTTAACGTTACATATGATATTTTAAGGAGATTATATTATATTTGTTATAATTAACTAATTTATTTTACTTCTTTAATATACTTAAATTAATTAAATACTACCTCCAGTCCTAATTATAAGACCCAGTTGACTAATTTGAGGAGATTAAGGAATTAAGTTAGATTAGTTATTTGTAATAAATAAGTGTTGTCATTCCTAAAATATCTTTGCTAATTAAGTGTATTGGCTAGAACTATCATTATTAGAATGATTATCTTGGAAAAAATGCATAAATATGAGAGACAAAATGGATTGAGATCTTATAATTAGAATCAAACTAAAAGTCAAACGGAGTCTTATATTAAGGATCGGAGGTAGTATAGTGATATTTTTATTGAAGGGTTGACATATTCAAATTAATTTACAGACAGTACATATAATATCATGATTGAATATGAGGAGGTCCGACACTGGCATAATTATATATAGAGTACGATGTATAATGCCATTCTTCTCTGCTTGACCATGAATTGGTTTTTTAATATAATAAGTAAAATCCTATGCTTTACGTAGCATTTGAAACGTGACATATATTTGGTTAAATGTGGCAATACTGCTTTTGAAAAATAACGTACATGAAAGTCGTTAATAGAAAGTCTCAATCGAATTTAATTCCCATTGAATTTTTATGTAGCCGCCCATCCAACTATAACCTAACTAGGACATTCTTAAATCATGTACCCTTTTTTATTTTTATTATAAGACTCTTTTAATCGGGTCATCAGAATTAAAGAGAGATTGGTAGGCTATTAATTTTTTTTTAAAATTTACCTATATTTAAGACAATGAATTTAATTTATATTGGAGTTTAAGATTTTTTTTAATTTTGTTAAACATAGTGAAAATGACTTATAAATAGAATAGAAAGAATACACCTCAAAATACAAAAAAAAAATTATATAGACTTTGAATTGAGATAATTTGTTAAGAAAATAATTTAATGACTTATGCATGATATAAAAGACCATAATAATACTTCCCTGCTTACTTTTATAAGGAAACAAAAACACAAATCAATGAGAAAATAAAATCCATGCATTATATAAGTATTATTTTTCTTTTTCAGCTTTATCTTCTATCTGATATCATGTTATTTTAAATTTTAACTATTTTTGTTTTATATCCTTCATGTAACGGGAGTGTTATTGAAAATATGTAATAACTATGCATTAAAATTTGGGAAATATCATATATTTAGAAACAAAATTTAAATTTAAATCAGGATAGATAAATAGAGATGGGAGAAAAGTACAACTATATTCTAGATGACAGCTCCTAAAGAAAGTGACATCCTCATTAATTGTTTGATGGCTTCACTTAATTATCTCAATTCTCTGTGCTTCCGTGATTCACATATAGAGTTGAAAAGTAAACAAATTCATAATATAAACTTGGAATCTCATTCAATTTAGTTGTGCCATGATTAATGAGGGAAATATCAAATCCTACGTGTCTAAATACTCATTTTTTTCTCTCACTACGTTTTTTTTAATTATTAACCGTATTATAACTCAGCTCGTGATTTTTTTTATAATTATTTTCAAGCCCGGATTTAAAAAAAAAGGAGTTATATTAGATGCTCGATAATCAATGTAAAATTCTACACATAATTAAATCCAAATTACACAAATAAAAAACAAATTAATGCAAGATAAGTATAGAATAATTCAACTTTTGCGTAAGCTTTGTGGGGAAAACTATTAAGAAAAGAAAAAGTGTTCGCAAAAATTCAAAGTGGAAAGCATAGCAAAGTCATGATTAATTAATGAGAAATTGAAGAAGAAGGTCGGTTGCTTATGGTCTTATGGAGTTTAAAAGTTTAAACTTCATCAGTCTGTCTTGCGTACTGTACATTGATTTCTTTGAACCTTCTTGACAAATAATTGTCAAATTAAACATTTATGACAAACCCCAGTTGGCAAAAATTTTCAAATCTTAATAAATAGCCACCGAAAAGTACCAACAATTAACTTGGTGAATAATAATAAATTGATGTTAGTCATATCTAAAAATTTTTATCTGTTATAATAATGTTGGTGATACCCTAAGAGTCCCACCACATTGAAAAGGGAATGAACAAGATTGTATCCTAATTAAAAATGACAAGAAATGGATTGTTGCTAGAGGATTGGTTATATAAATATACATATCCTAAAATAATATTGATAATATTCTCTAATATGTTTAGTAGAGGATTCATTATAACATTAGTACAAATTTTCGTAGTTAAATTGGGTGATCAATAATATCTGAGAGAAGAAAACTATTACAGAATGTTAATAGTGATAATTATTAGTGTCATAAATGCCCAGCTCATTTTTAAGCAACATGGTAGGTCATATATAATAAGAGATAATGAAGGATATTATGGAAAATTCACAAAATTTATGGTGATGACATCAACTAATAACAAGGAGAGGTATATAGATATGAACAAATAATTAATTTTTATCAATAAAAAGGAGTGAATTAAATGCCGCTCTAATCCTAAATATAGAAACTAATTAGAGGATTGGTTCTAGTTTTAAGTATAAGACCTCTTATATTTATCATTTTTTTAAATTAGTTTTTCTAACTTATAAATTGATGTATAAGCTAGCGTTATCTAATTATATTTTTGAGAGATTAAATCACATTTGTCATAATTAATTAATTTGTCTAAACAGATTAATTTAATACCTCTCACGTTAAAGACTGGACAAGTGTATTGAATGAAAACATGAATTTTAGTTGATAAATTAATAGAGGGTGATGCAACTGGTGAGAGAATTGAGAGAATAAACATCAAAGTGATGAGTTGAAGAGAGGTTAGGTGAGGAGCCTTAAAGAGTATTATGATGGAAAGTAAATTGGCCATTAAATAGTGTTGGTTTGGGATATTAATGAATTGGGATAGTAAATGGCCTTTAATTTCAGTTTCATGCATCCATGAAACCTCACCTCACGCACGTATGTCATCATCACTTCAACAATAAAAAGTGTAGGTGGCTGCTCTTTTCACTCATTTATACGATACACCAACATTTTTTGCACATCACTTTCTCCTTTTAATTATCTTATGCATGCCATAACATTCAGTAAAGTGATCGAGTGGATAACCAAAAAAAAAATTTCAATATACTAATCTCTACAATATTGTGAACTTGATCGGTTAATTTGCTACTCCCTCTAGCTAGCATAAAATGTAAGGCACCTTAATACTATTCCCAGTCCTTAATACAAGAGACATATTGATTTTTAATTTGATCTTAAATTTAAGATCCCAATCTATTTTGTCTATCATATTTATCTAATTTTTTAAAAATAATTCTTATAGTAATTGTACATATTAAAGATTCTATCAAATGGTAGTTATAGTTAATACATGTAACTAGTAAGGGTATTTTAGAAAAGACACCACCTAATTATTACAAATAACTAACTTAACAAACTTTCTTAATCTATTCAAATTAGTTAAATAGCTCTTATATTAAGGATCAGGTCAGTTACTCAAAGAATTGTTAATTACTATGTATTTTTTTCGTTTTAAGATATATAGATTTAATGAGTGAACTCTTCTTTTTTAATTTTTGAATTTTATAATCGCAAGGTAGATAGCCTAATTTTGACCGATCAAGTTACACACAAAGAGAGATTAGCTTAAAAGCATTTAAAATATTCAAATACCTTCCAACCAACTATAGTATCAAATTGTCTTATTTATTCAAATGTGAAGACAGATTATAAAATCAAATTTGCTAGGTGGTCGTCTCGCAATCTGATGTGAAATTATTTATAACATTAAACTATATATAATAGCTTGCATTCATCATCCACTTGAAAAGGGGTGGCATGTTAACTGGACAATAATAACAAACAGGTATAAGGCAAGGAATTTAATTACTATAATTATCACATCCTTTGCAAAATGTCAAGGATAACATGTAAATATTATAAATTGACAAGTAAATGGGACTTATTAGTAATTAATTTTTTTTATTTGAAATTTTTATCTAGTTCTCCTGATATATTATCTCAATTTTTTTTTTCATCTGTACAATTAATTAATGCTTTTGTTCCTCTTTCTATGTGACAAAATGCTACTAATTTATTAATTTATAATTTGACATATACAAAATGAAAATTTCCGTCTTATTCTGTGAGAATTTTTATGAAAGCCTTGCATTAATTTGCTTCTCTTCAATGAAAGCTTTTTTCCCCCCAGAATGTATCTTAATTGTAAGCTTTATTATATGAGTAGAAGGAAAAATGATGAAAACATTTTATAAAAAAAGGGGAGGATGGAGTATTTATTAATGACAGCATAACTAGCTGATTTTTATTACAAAGATGGGAAGGGGGCCCTATTTATTGTGAGGGGTAGAAGGACCCACCATCTTGCATTTATAAAGCCTAACCTGAATTTGCTTAATGTTGCCATCAATGTGTGTGATTTTCATGGGCTATCATGCTGCCCAACAAACTATTGTTGGACAGTATAGTAGTTCAACCATCAATGTTAGTTCATGGCTAATTTAAGGACTCCTTCTGAAATTTCCATGCTCAAATTAATTACAATTCTAAGGTTTTCAAATCTTGTTGCTTATTCATTTGTGGTCTTTGATAAAAATATTGTAAATGACCATCTTTCATAACTTAGCATACTAATATGATTCATCTTTCAGTTTCTTTGTTGCCAATGCTTCGTGTCTTATTGAACTTATTCTATGAATACAAAATGTTAAACATAATTTATAAATAGGATCAGATGAGTAATTATATTCTGATCAAACAACTCAATAAATAACTTTATTTTGGGTGGTCTCTATCTCTCCCACAAAAATAGACATTTTTATGTTTGACTTAATTGGCATTTCTCATAGAAATCCCTCTTAATAATGCCAAATGCCAACTAAAATATTGACCATGTTTAACTTTGAAAATGGGAAGGGGTAAGTGGAAACTTTCAAAGGATTATGACTTTTGAATGCATTTTGCCTGCAGATTAGGATGGACAAGTTAAAATGATTTGGGTCCAATAATAATGCTCAAGTCTGGGGGACCAAAAAACAAGTCACTGAAGCTTCATGAAGAAATTATGGTGAGATTTTCTGTTGCTGAAAAGGAAAATGAACCAGTAGTAGTTAATGAAGGAACTATCTTATGTAAAAGATTTAAATGCTGCTGCAACTTGCAAAGTCCTTCAAAATGAAATGTACTAGTACTACTACTAGCCAGTGCATTGTATTATTGTTATTCCATCAATTTTTCATTCTGTTTTGGATAAGCCAACTGTATGTCCGGCTCCGAGGGATTTTACTATTTACAAAGTGCCAAAGATGATCCTTTGGTATGGGAAATTCTAGACAAATCACAGTCACATGTTGCACCTAATCAGCCATACGTTTACTGTCAATTCCCTCTCCCTCCCTCTCTCTCTCTATGTATATTTTCTCTATCTTTTTTATTTGCAGTGGCTGAAGCATCATCATCATCAGTTTTACTAAACCCTGTAAATCTACAGAGAAAAACAAGTACCTCAGTGTTCTTGCTCATGTGCTTGTGAGTACCCCACCAATTATTGGTAACAACTCTTGGATTTTTTTTATTTTTTATTTTTGGTCAAAAACAACTTTTGGATTTAACCAATTGGATTTTGTAGCAGCTAAAGCCAGATGTCTGCTACACTTAATAACTTTATCATGAAATCCTCAAACTCAAGAAATTTCCAGGATGCCAAGCACAAATTTGTAACATTGTTGATACTGTTTAGGATTAGACATGCGGAGCATTTTACATAGGACCATTCAATTGATGAAAAACTGAGCATTTATTCTGGACACACCGAAATAGAATTTCTCACGGAGGATAGCATTGTAGAAATTGGAAATTTTTCTATTAGCTTTGTTAGCAAAATAGCAATAATTTTGCAATATACATAAACCCCGGGTAATATTCTGGGAACAGAATCCCTATCCTTGAACAGCCTAAACTTATCTATCATTTACAAAATTATGAAAGAAGCAATCACTAATAATCCAGAATCCCCTCTCAAATTGAGATATTGAGGTCAATCCTAGGTTTCTTCATGGATGGAAAAGGAACAACAGAGTTACACCTAGGACACCTGGGATTGTTCTTCATTATCAAAACGTATGATAAGCAACCAGGACACCCTGCTGCAAGTGGAGATGACAACTTCTCTTCACTTTCTTCTTCCTGGGTTTCTCTCATGGAAGAGGATGAAGACGAATATGAAGGCGATGGCGACGACAAGGCCGAAGATTTCCAGAATGAAGCTGTCGTTCGTTTCTTCATAGGCTCTTTCTCTGCTCTTTCCAGGGCTGATTTCACCTTGTCAAGGGTGCATACACTTTGGTAATTGGTTGATGGCAATGAAGAAGAGAACAACTTCAAGTCTAAGCTTTTATCATCAAATAGGTTCAGAGATAGTTTTGATGGAGAAGGAGGGCTGTTTAGGTCCTGAAGTTTTGGACCCGAAGGACTCGAATTGAGTTTGTGTTCTGACGCTGATTGGCTTAAAGAGTTGCACCGTTGAATATAGACTTTCCCCGACTGAAATCAGTGGCAAACATCAGTACAGACACATCACAAAACCAATGGAAAGCAAAAGGAGGCAAGAACTCATTTGCACAAAACCAACGAGCAGAGATATTAAAACGCTTTTATTAGAGAATTTCCATAAGACTGAATCATGGAAAATCCTTTAGCACAATATATTCATCATGCCATGATAAATCCAAAAGCTAGAAAATCATATCATAGCAGAATAAACGTTCAGATCAGAGGGCTACAAGAACCGAAAGAAATTTATTTATTGGCGGCCTGCAGTGATATTAGAAGGGACAAAATTTTAAGTACATATAGTCTATAAGTTTTTCCAAACTATCAGATCCTTAGTTCCCTGCAATTTCTCAGTGACAATTCAGAAGGCCGTCAAAACAAATCAATGACCCTCTGAATCAATCAAATACTCGTAACAAACAAAAAATAGGTTTTAATAGGTTAAAAACAGAAGTCATGGTTTTGGATTACAAAGAACAGCAGAACAGTGAAAACGAGATTAGCAAGAAAAATATCAACGAAATTTTAACAGCCGAAAATTCCAAGGATAAATTCCTTCAGAAGGAAAAAGAACTTGTAACATTTACAAAGAGGCTATAAAATTCCCGGAAACCACGACACCGACCAAATTAGCTTCCACAAGAAACAAACAGGAAATGAATTAAACGAAACCTTGAGGTCTAGGCGCTTCTCCCAGCCACTAGGTACTTGCAAGTCGAGGTCCAATTCCTGAGATTCAACAACAGATTTAGAGGACCCGCCAAGCAAGTCCCGAGTAATCAGAACCGGAGATCTCTCACTATTCGATTCATTTCCCACCGTCCGGTGCTTGTCGTCCTTGTACCCACCACCAGCAAGAACACGAACCAGAGAACTTACGTCGGCAGCCATCATAACTTTCACGGAGCAACTTCGCCCTCAGAAGGAGAAGCCGAGGAAGAGAGAAAGAAAGAGAGATTCGGAGAGAGAAAAGGATAGAGAGACTGAGAGAGAGACGCATGAATTGTTCATATGTTATGGGAGTTATATACGCTAATAAATGTACACGGGCCGTTATAATAATAATAATTAAAAAAAAAAGAAGAAGAAAAGGAAATAAATGTACAAGTAAAATTAAGTTTTTTAAATAATTTTGATTAAGAAATTAATACCATCAATTAATAAGTAATTAATACTCCGTTAATGCAATGATATTTAATGAAATGAATTGGCAACGCGGTTGTGAGAAGGAAAATGAATCTTCTTCGCATCCACATTAATTACAGTATTCAACTAACAACTAAAAAAATGTAATTTGTTGATTATCCATATTCATGAATCCTATAAACTAAATAACTAGGGGCCCAATTACTAATTCATTATAAAGGCGTGAATATCAAGTATATTTCATTTGGTCAAAAAATATCAAATCTATTTTTTGTTACATGTATTAATATTATGGAATTAGATGCAAGTTTCCATCTGTAAAAGAAATGAATGATATTATTTATAATTACTTCTTCTTGTTCAAAATATAAGCTACACTTTATCTATTTATGTTTATAAAAAAATAATTAAAATTAGTTTAAAATAATAAATATGTAAGGCATATATTTTTTTCTCAAATATGCCCTTATTAATAAAGAGAATAAGTAAAAGATATAATAAATGAATCAAAGAGGAAAGAGAATATATAAGGGTAAAATTAAAAAAACTCATTAAATACTTAAGTAGAAGTGAATGTTATCTTATAAAAAAAATCAAGCATTTTCAACAAAATTTAGCTTATATTTTAAATCAGAGGAAGTATTAAATTACTACTGTCGATTTTATATTTAGTACTTTTTTTATTAGCTTTTTTATGTGTGGGGTGATGTTGAATTTTTCTATTGAAATAAAGTTTAATAAAGTTTATAAATAAATAGAAAATCATTTTTATTGTTCAAATTTCAAAAACGTTAGATTGTGAGGATTGTAACAAATAGTTAGATACATTGAATTAATCATATGAGACTTTGTATAATATTACCGCCTCTTTATAAAATTAGAAGTTAATAAAACATGAGATTTGAATTTTTATTTCAACGTAGTATTAGTAGCAGGAGCTTTGTGGATGAAAATAGCACAATGTTTAGAAACTTGAATCATTTACATTAAACACCTTTTTAAAAATTCTATATATGAGTTTTTTTGCCATCATAGATAAGTTATAATTTTTGGGATGCTTGGTTCTTTTTATAGATTAATTTTATTTTTTTGTCAACTTATAAATTATATTTTATATATGTCTCAAAATTTAACTTATTTTTTTAATTTCTATTCATGTTTTTTTGGTACAAATTCCTACTTCTATTTTGTTAGATGTCTCTGTTTTAATTATCACACCTAGCCTATAAATTAAGAAATGCAATAAATTTATAATGTTTTCCGTATTTGTCATTATTAAAGAAAGAGTATTAAAAATATGTTTTATATTTTTTCTCACCCATTTATCTTATTTCTCTCTAATTTTTTAAGTTGACAAGGGTAAGAACTGAAAAAAGCTTATTAATTACCTTTCAAGTAACTTATATTTAAGAATAAATATTTTTTTTACTTATAAATAGGAACATTTTTTTTTATGGACTCTCTCATCTCCTTTTTCTCCTGTCTATTTTTTCCCTCACTTATTCTGTTATTCAGGATTTAATAACAGGCAGGAGAGTAGCACAGTAATTAGGGAATTAATGAGAGTAATTAATTGATTGAATGGGGAGGGCGTGGATAATTAATGAGAGGGTGGCGGGGGAATGGGGAGGAGGGAGGGCAATTAATGCAAGGAAGAGAAGACAAATGGATGCTTTAATTGCGTAATTTAAAATTTGAACTCAAGTGCTTAGCTGCTTTCGATATTTGGGAACATATATAATTATTACAAGAAATGGGGCGTCATTAAATAATTATGATTTTTGTTGTTGTTGGTATTTATCGCCTGTGGTAAAATACTCCTATGGAAAAAAAGGCACGGTGAGTCATAGATTTGAATGGGAACAAGCTAATAAATGAGGCATTGGACGTAGTGGAAAAAGGATGACGTCAGAAGCGTATAAGGAAGCAAAGCCTCATTTAATTTTTGGGTAGAATCCAATTTTGACACGTACCCATCTCCCTTCACTTCAAGGTTCCTTCGTCTCCACCAACTCTTGGTCTAATTTACGAGCAATAATCTTAATTATAAGGTCTTATCTGGTAATAATAAAATAAAAATAATTATAAATTTGGTTATTATAGTCTGATTAAATTATTATTAAGACTTTTTAATAATTCTTTTATTGGGATCTCATTGTAATTCTCTCATAATAATAATTAATTAAAATTAGTTAAAAATAATAAATATGTTAGAAATATACTTTTATTTCTAAATATATCCTTATCATAAATGAGACAAAAGATAAAAAAAGAATGTGTTGAAAAATATAATAACAGAAAAATAATTAATGGTAATATTAAAAAAATATATTAAATGTTAAGACAATCTAAATTGAAAATTATAAAATAGAGCCTAAATTTGAAGCTTATAAATATGACATGAGAGAGTACTATTTTTTCTTTTTTCTTTTTTCTTTTTTTGCCATCTTTATAAACTATTTTATCTGCTCTTCATTCCTTTTTCACTGTAATTCTAAAATCAGTTAATTAATTTTGTAATTAAAAAATATTATTATTTGGTTTATGAATTTTTTTTCTCAATTTTCAATTTAATCCCTTGATTTTGACTTGAAAACACTTTGTTGTTATAATTTTTTAACTCGAAATAATTAAATTCTTAATTGAAAATAAAGTCGGAAAACAGATAATTAACTTGAATGGGTTAAATTTGTTTACAATTTTCTATAACAAATAGATTGAAATCACATTATGGTGCAAAATGAAAGATTAAGATAAAAAGGGTCCAGGGAGGAAGGAAATACTCCTTCCGATTCAAAATATAAACTAAATTTTATCTATTACGTTTATTAAGAAGCTAATTAAAATCAATTTAAAATAATAAATGTGTAAGACATATATTTATTTTTCTTAATATACTCTTATTAATAAAGAGAATAAGTAAAAGATGTAATAAATGAATTAAAGAGGGAAGAGAATATATAGAAGTAAAATTAAAAAAACTTATTAAATGTTTGGATACAAATAAATGTTATCTTATAAAAAAACTAATATTTTAAAAAAAATTTAGCTTATATTTTAAATTGGAGGAAATATTATTTAGGAACAGGTCAAAAGTCAAATTGAGGCTTCATAGAGAGAGGACCAAATTTAGTAATCACTTTTGCTGGTCTACAAAAAAAAGAAATTGGGCCCATTAACGACGAATGGTCAAGTTCAAAGCTTTCACGCCCCCACCCCACCTCATTTATTGCCCCATTTATTGTTGCTTGGCCCTATTATTCTTCATCACCATTCGCTACCCCGTATGTTTACAGTAACCATATAATTAGGTGTTTTTATTTGTTTGTTGGCAAAAAAAAATTCTGTGTTCTTCTTTGACAAGGCCCAAAAAAAAAAATCTACGCCACTTCCTCTGTTCCTACACGAGATGTGGTGTTTTTTTTGTCACGTAGACAATTTAAAATCATCCTCCCTTTGTAGGGAAGGGGACCCACGCACCGCTCGCACTCACCCTTACATGACAAGACATGGTATAGAATCCATGAACTCCTCTGTTAGAGGAGGCATATAGATGAACAGAAAGGGGGCATATAGTGCCAATTGAGGTATAAACTATTAAGCCAAAATAGAGTATTTGAGATAGACATTACTTTATTTATAAAATATTACCTTCGATCATAATTACAAGATATCGTTTGAAAACTATAAACGAAATCTTATAATTAGGACCGGAGATAGTATATTTAAAAAATGTATGAGATTTTGAGTTTTTTTTTTTTTCATTTTCACTCCCATTTAACATTGGTTGCTTATGGTTAAGTTAATAGTAATAAGAGGGGAAAACGTTAATATAAGAGGACTATTTACTGGTTTGATCAACTGACTGGGTTAGATTGCGATGTGATGATCAGTGAGAATTCAACTCATACCTTGCGAAGAGGTAGGTATTAAATTTGGGATTACAATAGAAATGTTTTTTTTTTAATGATAGTTTTATGAATGCTTTTGTGAAAAAAATTGCCTTTTGATTTGCGAAGTTTGATCTCACCTTGGTTGAGCTCTTGTAAATGGGGTGAGCGTTTATATAAAATTTGTTTTCTAAATATTTTTTTAGTTTTATTTATCAGTCACTTCTAACATATTTTACACAGATTTAAAAAAAAGTTTTAAATTTTATTAGCTCTCATTTAAAATTCAATAGCTTTTCAACTTTTTCTCCATTTAATATACATTATAACTCATGTAAACAATCAACAGAATGATAAACGAAGGGCAAAATTATATATTCATGTGAAAAATTTCTCTCAATGGTTTATAAATAGAACAAAAAATATCTCATATCTCTGCTTTATAAGGAAGACCAGAAGAATATATATATATATATATATATATATATATATATATATATATTGATGATGATCGATGATTACTTACCTTTCTTACTATTAGAATTCTCAAAGAGCACAATGAGAAGCTCAAAATATTTGTAGAATGGATATACATATATTCCCTCCCACCCCCGGCACAACTCATTTTAACAAATCTATTAAAGTTAAAAAAATAATAGTCAAATAATTAAATTTATCTCAAAGTAATTTTTTCAACAGATGTGAAAAAAAGAGAAAATACAATAAATTACATTTAATTATTATAATTGTGGGAACAAAATTGATAAATAATAAGTAAATTATTTTTCAAGTGATTTATATTTTAGACCAGACTATTTTTATATACACATATATCAAAGAACATTTAAATGTCTTTTATTCTTTTATAAAATTTCGAGTGGTCAAATGTTATAAAAGTTTATAGAGTACTCCCACCGAATGCCAGATTCAAGGGACAGAAT